AAAAGAGTTTACACACAAATATGCACTATAAATACATGGCAGTCTGTATTCAGTGTTACATGAGTGGTAGGAACAAAGCCATGCAGGGATTCAGAGACAACCACAATATTTTCAGGTATTCAATATCCATTGAAATATTTTAAGATTTTTACCTAAGATTTTTTTCTCACTGAAAAGACCTGTAAAGCTTATCTAATCTAACTTCTTTATTTTGCTAGAAAGTAAGACCCAAGAGCTTAAGCTGCTGCCCAAGATTACACAAGTAAATAAATAGCAAAGCCAGGAGAGAACGTTGTTCCCACTGGACACAGCTCTCCACGGATTTTCCCTCTCTATCACTTACTGCTTCTCCCGGGTTCTTCATGCACTCTTCTTCCTCAGCTCATCCTTTAACTAATGCTGTTTCCCAAGATTCTGCTCACTACTGTGTTGTTGGTCCCAACCTCCCAAGGCATCTCATTCACCTCCACACATAGTCATCATCTCTAAGCAAACAATTCACAGATCTCTGTATTTAGCTGCATTCTTCCTCCTGAGCTGCAGAACCACACTTCCCATCGCTTGCTGGACGGCTCTTCTGAGTTATCTAACTGGTCCTTGACATTTCACTACAAAACTGAGTTCATCGTCTCTCCTCTTCTCCCCTCCCACTGGTTGCTACTTCAATGCTCCTAGTCAATCAGCCAGAGAGCCTAGAATGACTGTCAATTCCTTTCTCGTCCTCATCGCCAATGTCCAATCACCCAAGGGAGCAATCACTACCATTCAATCAATGGTGAATCTGTAATATTCCTCGCACCTGCCTGTTTTCTACTCCTACCACTTCAGGCTTTCAGTATTTCTCACCTGGTTTATTACAATAGCTTTAGAAGATCTCCCTGCCATCTTTCTCCCAGTCTATTCTCAAAGGAGTTCTTTTCTTGAAGCTAGAACTGATCACGCATCATTCTCTTGCTCTGAAAACTTCAAGCTCTCTATTTTAAAATTCTTCAGGCTGCCATTCAAAGCCCTCCATGACATGCTCTTCAACTGAACTCTCCTATCCAGTCTATCATCCTACCCTCTTGCATCTCATTAATGTACTTTTACTCCCAGGAACTGGAATGAACCTGGAAACTTCCCTTCAGCCTTCCTTCACTGGCTAACTTTCTGCCAGAGCGCTCTTCCTCAAAAACTACCTTCCTTAATTGTAGCTATTCCTTAAGGCCCAAATCATAACAGCCTACGCCTGGAAGCCTTCTAAGATTGTCAGGGTCCCCTTAATTAGACTGAAGCTCTCTCTTCCCTCAATTTCAGTAGCACTTATTTGTAAGACTGTCTTGTATTCCTGTTATGTATGTGTATTTACTACTAAATACTGAGTTCCTCTGGCAGTAAAATTAATCATCTTTGATAGAATGGTATCTTTACCAAGGTAAGGTCTCAATAAATGTTATCTTGAATTTAATGGGATTATAGTCCCCTGCTTTTCAACTATACAAAGCAACCACCCTTAAAAGCATTAAGAAAAAAGATAACATTTAGATTACCTTTTAAAAATAACAGTTAAAAAATAAATAAATAAAAATAACAGTAGTCATTTCTTTGTGGTCTAAGCTAGGTATCTATAAGGTAGACTCAAGACTGACATTTACATTCTTCAGGAGGTGCTCCTAAAATGCATAAGAGGCATAACTTGCTATAATTCAGAGGATGTAGGTCTAAATGCCTTCCAGGGCCAAGGAGATAACAGACTATCTGAATGAACCGGGCTAGGGGTAAGAAAAACAGCAGCACAGGCCTCCCAAGTCTATGATGTGATGAGAACGGAAGAGACTGTGGTGAAATGGAGCATATAAGCCTCATCTAAAGGGAACAGCCACTACTTGGCACCAATAATTGTTGCCAGGAAGGAATATGATCCAAGGTTGCCAGATCTCGCAATTTTTCTAAAGGCCAGAAATCATGATTTTTATTTGAAATCTCCTGAATTTTAAATATTGGTAACAAGCCAGTTAAAAAATATTTTGAACACTGTGAGAACCAAATAGAAGATACCACGTAGGGTGCTAATTTGATAACTTCGTTTCTCATATTATGTCAGGAAAATGTCCAATGTGAATCAAAATGCTCTATATGGAATCCTAATACTCATTTCTAATTGATTTTTTGATTTGCCATGGCTTTACATACTTTGGCTTAAGTCTCACTACCTTTTAAACTCTCTTTCAAGCAGTTAACAAGCTATACCCAATTTAAGTATGAGACCTTCATTTCTATATTTACTTTTAAATTAATTAATTTACTTATTTTAGTTTTGGCCGCGTTGGGTCTTCATTGCTATGCACCAGCTTTCTCTAGTTGCAGTGAGTGTGGGCTTCTCTTGTTGCAGAGCACGGGCTCTAAGCGCGCGGGCTTCAGTAGTTGTGGCTTGTGGGCTCTTGAGTACAGGCTCAGTAGCTGTGGCGCACGGGCTTAGTTGCTCCGCGGCATGTGGGATCTTCCCAGGCCAGGGATCAAACCCGTGTACCCTGCATTGGCAGGCGGATTCTTAACCACTGAGCCACCACAGAAGTCCCTCGAGACATTTATTTTTAAAGGAATCTCTTTATGAAATATAAATTAAGTTTGTAATGTAAACAACTGCCCTCTGATTTGTTAATCTGACTTTTCATATGTTAGATTTTCTTTGTAAAGATAAGTCAGAGAAGTATCTAACTCATAAGGTTAACATGAGGATCAAATGAAGTAACAGTGTAGTTGTTAAGAGCATGAGCTCCCAGCCAGACTGCCTGGATTTGAATCTCACAACAAACCCTAGCTAGCTGACCTCGGGCAATATATTCACTCTCCGTGTGCCTCAGTGACCTATAAAATAGTAGCAGTACCTAGCTCACAGGATTGCTGTGAGGTTTCAAAGGATTAATACAGATAAAAGTATTGGAATAGTTACTGCCTGGTACATACTTATTGAATAAATGTTAGCTATTACAGGCATACCTTGACGATATCGCAGGTTGGGTTCCAGAGCACGGTAATAAAGTGAATATCACAGTAAAGCATCACACAAATTTTTTGGTTTTCCAGGGCATATAAAAGTTATGTTTATACTATACTGTAGTCTATTAAGTGTGCAATAGCATATTTTTTATGTCTAAAAAAACTGAATATACCTTAATTTCAAAATATTTTATTGCTAAAAAATGCCAATTCAATTACAATAGAACATCAAAGATCACTGATCACAGATTACAATAACAAATTTAATAATAATGAAAAAGTTTGAAACACTGCAAGAATAACCAAAATGTGACAAGACACAAAGTGAGCAAATGCTGTTGGAAAAATGGCACCGATAGAATTCTCAAGGCACGGCTGCCACAAACCTTCAATTTGTAAAAAATGCAGTATCTGCAAAGAACAATAAAGCGAAGCACAATAAAACAAGGTATGCCTGTACTCAGTCTGACAGTTACTATTATTTTCTATTATAATTTCATTAGTTATCACAGAAAGTTGCGGGGAGTCTGGGATAATATATCTGAACTACTCGGAGACGAAAGTCTACCTCTAAGATGTCTTCAGAGCCAGGACAGCATATGGCTGAAGTCCCTCCTTGTGTAAGTCCTGTGGTATATGGAGACACAGCACCAGATTCAGGTGTGCTCCCCCTGAACCGTGAGATGCCATATATGATGTATGGTGGAACCAGCTGCATTGGTCAAAAGTAGGAGAGCCTGTTCCCTTATGGACAGGCAGATTGCTTATCGGTCATAGCACAGGTCAATGCAATCAAACTGCCTGACTTTGAATCCTGATCCACCACTTCCAAACTGTGTGACCTTGGCAAAGCTACTTATCCCTTCTAAGCCTTTACAAATATGTAAAATAGGGGTAAACAATACTTACAGGATTGTAGTTAGAATTTAAGGTAATATTACATGCAAAGCACTCAGTCAGTACCTGACCTATGGAAGTGCTCAAGGTTACCTATCATTATTATTCTCAGATGGTTCAAGCTCGTGAATTCCAACTATGCTCTCCAGTGACTCACACAGAAGCTGGATGCTATATGGAAAATGATTCAAAGTAGTATGGTGATATGGTGATATGAATCTTTCCTAATGAAAAAAACCTTAATCAGATGGCTTAACCTTAACCAGGTAACTGTAACAGGTTTATCCTTCCCCCTGAGCTCTACCCAAAGAGACAAGTCAAAGAACAAAGGACACCACAGAAGGCAGGCCATTCTTTGTGGGTAGACAACTGTTAAGGCCAACACAGGGCCCTGCACATCACAGGAGTAAGTGTTTAATAGCTACTGAAACCCAGAAAGAACATGCTTCTAAAAAAAAAATCATTTCTTGCTGAACTGAATCAACAGGTATCCTTCCCAACTATTTCACAGACTAGTGGTTTTTAACTGTCAATAAAAATTGTGTTTTATACAATGCATGTAGTAAATGAAAGAAAGCATATAACTGAGGAATAGGAAACACAAAAAAAGAATCTCATTAAAACAATTTATGGGGCTTCCCTGGTGGCACAGTGGTTGAGAGTCTGCCTGCCGATGCAGGGGACGCGGGTTCGTGCCCCGGTCCGGGAAGATCCCACATGCTGCGGAGCAGCTGGGCCCGTGAACCATGGCCACGGAGCCTGCGCGTCCAGAGCCTGCGCGTCCGGAGCCTGCGCTCCGCAGCGGGAGAGGCCACAGCAATGAGAGGCCCGCGTACCGCAAAAAAAAAAAAAATTTATGAAGAAACTAATTCTTTTAACCACACAGACTTAAAATATGTGTCATGTAAAGACATTAGGGAAAGTATTTGTAGATGTCATCTAGTTGGAATAGCTAATTGTGATTATTGTTAGATGAACATGTGAATATTTTGAGCCTTTAATTATACCCATGTGTAGCCTACTACAAATTTAGCACTTTCTACTTCCAGCCCATTTTTAGCCATCTCTTATGCTGATAAGATGCATCACAACATCATGTACTATTTGAGACAGTAATTTGTTACCTGGATGTGGACTGGAGGTGATGAGGCTCCATTCATTGATATCTGAATTGTAGCTCTGGACCTTGTCATAGGTGCAGCTTCCTCTGTATCCGCAGTGGCCGCCAATGACGTAGATAACTTCATGTAAGACACAGGCAGTAGCATTTCCCACGCCTGTGTGTTAATTAAAATCACATCTTCAGATTGCTCTTTCATTCGGTTTTGCAATGAATATTGGACTAAGATTATTATTGCTTTTGTTATTATTGACAGTAGATGCAAGGCATTGTGCTAGATGCTATGAAGGATAGAAGAATAAAAAAAAAAAGGCTCCCTGCACCTTTTTTTAAAAGGGGTGAGACATTTACACAAATAATTAGAACAAAGGGTAGAGAACTCCTATGAACGTTCAGAGCAAGGAGACACTGCTTTGACTAAGGGAATCATGGCAGGCAGTGGCAGAATTTGTCCTGGGCCTCAGTAGGTAGCCTTTGGCAGGCACAGGTGAGATGAAGCCATCCTAGGCAGAGGGAAAGGTGAGTGCTTATTGGACAATGTCACGTAGCCGAGTTTGATTCCCAGCACTTGGGCAGGGCAGGTGGCACACCTGGGGCTGTCGTGTGGGAATTAAAGCTGACGTGGTAAACTGAAGCCACACGGCAAAGGATCCTGATGCCCAACTAAGAAACATGGACTTAATTTAGCAGGACTTTTAAGGTTTTTCAAGAGAGGAAGGGGGGGACTACAGGAGTGGAAGGGCAAGAGTCAGACAGAGCTAGGTATTGGCTCAGGTGCGAAGTACTGAGGGCCTGACTTTAGACTGGGCCTTGAGTCAGAGGGAAGGATACCAAGGTAAGAGACACCGGCAGAACAGATGGGCCTTGATGACTGACTGCGTCCAAGACAAACAAGACTCATTCTGAGGTCCTGAGCTCGGAAAACTGGGAAACACTGATGCCACAGAAAAATAAGGAAGAAATGGATTCAGCAGGGGAAGAAGACGTGAGGAAGAAAGATGAGGAGGCTCGTTTTAGTTGAAAATGTCAGTTTTAAGTCTTTCAACCAACTTTTTACTTAGCCTATTAGATGGGCCGGTGCAGTTCAATCTCCCTGTGCATTTCTACTCCAAAACAAGAGTGAGTTTATAAGCAGGGCAGTTATGATGAGGGGGAAATAAAGTTAGGACTTTCTAAACAGCCGAGTATTTATTTCTTCTCTGTATACCCATAAACTAAAAAAGGAAATGAATTTGAAATTTGACTCTGCCCAATTTAGGTGCTCATTACCAGGGAAAGCTGCTAGTTCACTTTATGGCTACAAAATAAAACAAACTGGGGAACATAGTGTTATCCTTTCTAGAGACAAATGGGAAACTTAAAGTTCAGCATGAGTCCACCCATCGGAACCAGTACTAGCAAAAAGTGCACATAACTGACAAAAGTGTTACCCTTCCCTGGGATAGTCAGATATAATCAGGAATCAAAACTTAAGTTAAAAGTATAAAACTCTGGGGCTTCCCTGGTGGCGCAGTGGTTGAGAGTCCGCCTGCCGATGCAGGGGACACGGATTCGTGCCCCAGTCCGGGAAGATCCCACATGCCGCGGAGCGGCTGGGCCCGTGAGCCATGGCCGCTGAGCCTGTGCGTCCGGAGCCTGTGCTCCACAACGGGAAAAACCACAACAGTGAGAGGCCCGCGTACAGCAAAAAAAAAAAAAAAAAAGTATAAAACTCTGGAATTTCAGACCCAGCTGGGGAGTAGGGGAAGACTTCAGCATACGAGGGTCTTCCATTCCACTCAAGGCTAAGGCAAGAACACGTGTGGCCTTCTTTACAGTGGATACACCATTGCAGCATTTTCTTTTCAGAAAGCACTGTTTCGCACATGATTTAACAACATTTCAGTAAAGTAATACATTTCAATCCTCAAAGAAATATACTCTAAACTGCAGAACCACTGAAATTGTGATCTTATCATTAAGAAACAGAGGCAGAAATATCTCCAGGTTTACAACAGCTGCTAAAATATTTGAACTTTCCTTGCTTCTTTTGTAGGAAAGGAGTCAGGACATTAAGAGCCACCCTGGGGAGAGGACTGGGGGAGTTAGTAAATTGGGGGGTCAAGCTCTGGCAGAGTCAAAAACCAGAGCAGCTATTGCAGCAGGCATCAAGCCACCTTCTTCCAACCTGCCAACTACTTCGCAATCTTCGGACGTGCAGGAGAGCAGCTGTAATTGAATATGAAAGATATTTCTGCCCTGTCAAAGCTGACATGTTCTTCTATAAGATGTTCATGACTATAATGCCTAACACTTACTGAGTGCTTACTCTGTGCCAGGCACGGTTCTAAGCACTTCACATGAATAAACTCAATTAATCCTTTCAGAACTAAGCTATGTAATATTGTGACCCCCATTGTACAGATGGCAAAACTGGGGCACAGGGAGATTAAACCATTTGCCCAAGCTCACCAGCAAGTGAGGTAAAAGTCAGGATTTGGATCCAGGCAGTTTGACTTCAGAAGCAGCATGTCTGGTCACAAGGCCATTCTGCCTCTCAGGCTTCCTGTTCTCATCCAAGAATCACACCGGGTCAGATTCCCAGACCAGGTCAGATTCCCACACCCCCACTAGCATTAAAAAAGAAACAGAAAGGCCTGGGAAGAAACATCTGGAATAAAATGACTCAAATTTGGTAACAACGTACCAGTTTGTGTGCACCTCCCCAGCACCAATGAATAAATGTAATGAAATAAGTGAGATTCTAGCCTAACTTTTTTTACAGTGGGAGAGAAAGACAAGGCTAATCTAGTACCAAACACAGCAGAAAATACAGTGTTTATCAGACAGATGCTGAGATCCAATAGCCACTGTGTGGGCCACGTGTGGGAGGTAGGGGACCTTCCCCTCTCCTTTTCCCTCTAAGACAAGACTGGAATTCCAAAGAGCAGAGGCTGTTTGTCTCTAGTTTTTGAGAGAATGTAAGTTGTTACACCCTATAGGGACCAAACCTTTCAAGGTTTTAATGAAAGACCTTTTAAAAGACAGATGATCAGATGATGAGAGGAAAAAAGGCTGAATATTTAAAAGCAGAATCAAAAAGCTTCAATGTCAAGAGCAAGCAAAAAAATAGAAAATTAAACATGAATAAAACTATCCAGCTTTCTCTTTTCATTTAGCCTTTGATTTAAATATAAATTCTTAAGACTCAAAGCAAGATGTAGATTCAAAACAGGCTGTAGAATAAGAAGAATGAATTATACTGTTTTCTTATATAAATAATATTTCTTTTCTAGCCTGGGTAGCATACTCTGATCACATAACTCTCAGTCAAGTTGGGGACTGCTATACTATATTTTCACTTGGAACATTCTGTGTAACATTATTTGTATAAGCCACTATAGTTCCTAGGTAGCACTCCAAAGTGATAAATTCTTTTTAACGTTATCTGTGAGAGAACTGAGAGATCCTTGGCCTAACCTCAAACACCTAAAAATTACAGAATAAACACAATCTGCACTTACCTTTAATCATGTTTGCAATAGGAATCCATTTCTCCTTTAATGGATCATAGAACTCGGCCTCTTCTGCTGGAGCCCCTTTTCTGTAACCACCTAAAGCATAGACACAGCCACCCAAGGTGACTGCACAGTGGTAATACCTGGCATTGAGCATTGGCAAACCTTCTGTCCATTCATCACTTTCACTGTTATAGATCCACACTGTGTCAAGAGCTTCTATGTTATCCGTTCTGTAACCTCCAGTTACATAAATATTGGGTCCCAAACATGTAACACCATAGCTCTCCCTAGTGTAATCTGGTATTTCTGCTCCCTGGATCCAAACATTTGTCAAAGGATCCCATACGTGCACCTCTGATAAAGGATGCCAGTAATAGCCTCCAATGATATACATTGTGGCTGTGGACCTCTGAGAAATCTCTTTATGCATGGGATTCAAAGCATTGTATATGAGAGATCGGATCTTATTTTCGGTTAACAGGCAGCTTCTTTGAAGGCCCAAAGCTGTTTTTAAATACACTGGATCTATATCTATGTTGATATAGCTTAGTAGATTATACAGGCACTCAATTCGATTTTCTACATCATGAGCAGTCCACTTGATAACTGGCTCTATGACAGCTTCTTCTTTCCAAACACTGAGATTCTTTCTGGACAAGATAAAGAGAAACTTTTCAAGGCTTATTTCCAGAAATTCTTCTTGTTGCCATACTTCCTTAAACCTTGAGCATAGAATTCTTCGAGATTCCTTCTCTAGTTCTGGACACACGTGAAATTCTGCAAAGGAGTGCATTCCAATACAATTATCAATATCCAAGTGCCTTACCAAAAACTGCTCACATGCTTTCTTTACTGAAAGGAATTGTAGCAGATCTGCTGCTTCAAGCAGGCTTTGAACATTTCTTTTAGTTATCTCAATTTGGGACGTGTACGCATAATTTACAAGGCCTTCCAAGATATCATGTTGGATGCCAGAGATTTTAATTTTATTTTTAAATTTTTCTTTCATGTCAGCTGTGAACATTGCTTTAAAATAATTGCTGCAAGCAGCTAAAACAGCTCGGTGACAATGGAAGATTATGCCTGAAGGACACTGAAGGGTAATATCAGTAAATAATCCATCCAAGTAAAATGTTTTGAATGCATCCAGAAAATCCACTGGATGTGTCGAATCCTTGAAAAGGTAAATATAATCTTCTTGTCCTTTTAGAGCCATGGCTGCAATAAATATGAAACAATAAACGTGTTTTCAATTGTGCGCATTACCTCATAATCAATGCTAAATATTCCTGTCATTATAATGATTGATTAGCATCGAATATACAAAACTAGACTAAGTTCAACACTCTGTCACAAATGCAAGATGTGGACACACTATTTCATAATTTATATGATGGTCAATTTCAATGCAGGGTAGCTCGGAGTCTGATATGAGGCCCCCGGATTGCTCAGGGGTCCTTTCGAGAAGAAATATTGATTTGCTACCCCATTCACCCAGTCTCCAAAATCTGCCCCGAGCTGCCGGTCCTACAGAGAGCCCCCACTTGGCAAACCAAGTGTCCAAGAGGTCACCCCACTCGAGGCTGGACCTTGGCCGTCTCGGCTCGGCCCCAACTCAACCTTTTCCCCGAGTTCCGTCTCCCTTACAAGTCGAATCGAGATGCCAGGAAAAGGGATGATCGAAATATAACTGGATAGAAGAAATCTCGGAAAAGGGAAATCCTGTGCCTTTCTGCTCAAGGAAGAACGGAAAGGAAAACGGCCGGACGGCGGCCCCTCCATCCGCGTGCCCCCTCCACGGCTGCCGCAGGGCTTTCCGCGCGCCGCGCGCCCGGCCCCCGGCCAGCGTTTCCGCCCGGAGACCGCCCCGCCCGGGGGCCTGGCATGGGGACTCGCCTCGAGGGCGCCGCGCGCTGCCGCCGGGTCGGGCGCCCGCGTCCCTCCACCTCGGGACGCCGCACAGGTGTGGGGAGGGCGCCGCTGACGGCCCCGTGCTCGGCCCGGCCCGCCGCCCGCGCGGCCATTGTCTCCGCGCCTCTGCCGCGGGCTGGCCTCGCTCCCCCGCGCCCGGCCCCGCTAGCTCCCCGCCGGCTGGCCTTGCCCCGCACTCACCTCCCGCGGCGGCTCCGGGTCGCGCTGCGGGCCCGCGGGCTAGCGGCGAGCGGGGGCGGGGGCGCCTCCGGACCCTCTGACCATCTTTGGAAGAGGCGCGGCGGAGGCTGCCTGCTAGTGCAGCTCCAGCCCACAAGCGGCTCCTATTTTGGTGCCCCGGCTGCTCCCCGCCTCCAACCGAACGGCCCCCCACGCGCCTGGGGCGCGGGGCAGCTCGCGGGAACTCCCGGCTGGCGGGGCCGCGCTGCGGGCAGGGCCGGCTGGGCGCGCGGGTGCGTGGCTGCGGCCCCTCCCCGGCGGGCTCCCAGGCAGCAGGTGGGACGGCTTCCCGGAGGAGACCGCCCGCGCTGCTAGCTTCTGCACTTCTCCCGGGACCTGTCCCCCATCCCCACCCCACACACAGACACTGCCGAGCGTTTTCTCTCTAGACAAACGCTCTAAGTCCTGAATTAGGACCATATATGGGGGCTGGGGGGCCCCCTTTTCCCTCTTTCAGTAGCTCTCCCCAGCCCAGGCCCTAATGGTGGAGTGGAATTGGGGGTCGGGGTTGGAGAGAATGCAGCAAACTTAAAGGTCTGGGGTTCAGGTTGCCTTCAAAATGCTAGAAGTAGTTGCCGCTTTCCCACGAACTCCATCCTGCCCCCAGCAGAGCACTCTGGAGGAGTGCTGGGGAAGCCCCTGGGCCTGATGTGTACACTGTGGGTTAACTTGGAGCTTTCAGAAAAACTGAGAGCAGCCAGGGCCAGGGATTCAGGTTACAGTATTTAGAACAGAGTAGCTGGAAGGAGCAGCCTCCAGCCTTTCTTCCTGGTGGCAGCCAGTCCAAGACGTACATATGCTACACCACAAAGTTCATGTTCTTGTTCCTACAAAAGGCAATATCAAATATTTTCATTTACCATTCATTCATATGCAAGATTTTACTGAGTGCCTAGGCACTGGTAATAGCGTGGTGAAAGATGGTCCATAGCTCGCGCGGAGTTTATAGTCTAGCCAGCTTAAGGGAGGAAGGAGACCAGGATGAAAGGAACACCAGAGGCCCAGTGTGTTTCTCAGAATATGGTCTGAGAGACAATATACAAACAGACAATGGCCAGACTGTATATGACAAAAGAACTCTGAACCACATAAGAAGTCCAGGAAGCCAAACCACAACTTCTGCAGCAATTGCACCAGAACAGTAAGGAGGTGGTCAATGACTGCCAACTTCCCTATTTTTACCCCTACTTTCAACTTGGGACCAGTCAGAGAAAGCCAAATATGCTCCCCATACCAATCACATAAAATACTCTGATTCTAGTAGCTGGACTCCAGCTTTCCCAGGCCAACAACCTCCAACGTATACCTGAGACCTTCCCCTTTTTTCCACTTCTATAAAGCTTTCCCGCTCCCCTATCTGCCTTTGAGCTTCTATCAAAGGCAAATGATGGTCCTGACTCTCTTGCTATAGCAAGATCTGAATAAATGGCCTCCGTTCTCATTTGGGTGATTTTATTTTAATGCCACATGTCAGACCACCTCAACTGAATTATGTGGGATACTAGAATCTGCATTCTAGTCAAGGGCATCAGGTGATCCTTTCGCACAATTAGAAGAACATACTGTTGGGGACTTCCTTGGTGGTCCAGTGGGTAAGATGCCGCGCTCCCAATGCAGGGGGGTGGGGTTCGATGCCTGGTTGGGAAACTAGATCCTGCATGCATGCCACAACAAAGATCCTGAAGTGCCACAACTAAGACCCGGTGCAGGCTAAATAAATACATTTTTTTTTTTTTAAAAAAAAAAGAAGAAGAAGAACGTATGTTGGACCCAAAATGGAAGAAAAATGAAAGGTTTACTATCTCAACAACTGGTAAACAGTTTAGTAGAGAAGAAAAGTATATGAGATTTTGTTTCAGGGTTAAGATTCTTCTCTGCCACTTATCTAATCATGTAGCTTAACTAAACTTCTCTGATCCTGAGTTTTCTGACTTCTTGTAAAACAGAAAATATCAGTACTTTCTCAACTAACATAAGGATATTGGAAAGATAAAATTATGACAGTGAAAGCACTTAGGATGTGGTATATAAATGTTAACTATTATAATGAAAGGATATTTACACTTAATTCTCCATTACAACCTCAATTTGGAAATTAATATCTTATTAACATTTCTTCAAAAATCATGAACTTTGTAGTTAACTGTAATTACAGACACTTTGTCCTTCATGGATAGTGATGTTATTGTTGGTGTTGTCATTCAAGGACACAATTGCGATTGATTGAAGATGGGGCATTCTTTCCATGGTTGTCATTGAAGTGTGGCAATGGCTGTTTGTGGCTATGGTGCCAAGTTTGATGTATAGTAAATATAGGCTCTACCTAACTCAGAGGAGGGGCTTCTAGAATCATAACAGCATGTAATAAATGATTCTCGAATAACGGAATTCACTATATTGTCATTTGTTCTGTTATTTCAGATTGCTGCAGAACCCAATTCATACTTTTGCTTCCATTGCCTGATGTTCCCTGGTTGTGAATTATTGCTTAAAAGTGTATATGGGCTATACGTCAATTATATCTCAAAAAAAAGACCCCAAAAAGTGCATATCAGTATGTATTAGACTGCTTCAACCTGCCAAGAGAAGAGAAGGTCCTGAAGGGTATGGGCAGGAGCAGTTCCTCTTTACCACATGCTTTATCAAAAAGACCACTGCAAATGCTAATAGATTTGATGCACTCAGAAACATGTAATTAGCATTCATAAGTTAAATAAATTAATGACACTGTTCAAGAAAACAAGTGTGCCATCTGCGAATCCAAGTCTTAGGGAAATAAAGAGCCACCGTGGAGATGAAACATAAAGACTCTTGGCAGATACTGAGCTTGGCATGGAGTTGGAGTCCTTTTGACATCATACTGGGCTTTTCAAAAGACTTGGTTTCTAAAAATAACTATTTTATTTGTTGTTTTTACCTTATTAATACATCTTTCCACTAAGTATTGCTATGTCATTAAATGTTCGGTACGCTAATTGTGATAATCATGATCAATATATGTAAATGTGCCAGTATATACAGAAAATTTTGTGTACTTCATTTAACGTACTGGATAGAACAAGTTGGTGTTAAGTAAAAAAAAAAATAGGTATAATTTATAAGGCCACCACATACAGCTGTGTTAAGTTGTGCACTGCATAATTCCAGCTCATTCCATTCAAGTAGAGTGCCATGTGAACACTGTCTCAGGAGTTGTACAGTATACAACCAGCACAGGTAGATATATGTGGAGTTGCTATGTCTTGGCAAAGCCTTTTTGGTATGCTTCTGGGAAAATAAAGAAAACATTCTGATGACTGGGTAACAAGTGATTTCACAAGTCAGAATGTTTCCAATTCCTTGTTTTCAACAAAAGTTAAAGAGCATTTTTGACAAATAACTGGGAAAGAATCCACAAAATGAGTGGCAATGCTATAATAAAATTCCTCTCATTCCCATCTAGTTGTCTATGTGAACACATTTTCTCAGGGATTATATCTATAGAAATGAAAAACAGGAATATTACTGATCCTAAACTCTGTCTCATGCCAGCAGAAAACAATACTCAGCCAAAGATATATGGTCTCAATGAAAGGAAAATAGCCCAATTCATCAGACTGAAATAATTTTTGATAAATTTTTACTTTTGATTTAAACATATTTATGTTATGTCAATTATAGTAATAATTGTAATGTTAATCAGCTCAGAATTTTTTTACTACTTAAGAATCAAGGACATAAAACAGTTAAAATTCTAATTTGTGTACATTTTTGTTGCAGAGAAGCTTAAGAGGTGACTAATAAAAGATTTTCAAGTATAAAAATACATGGACAATCTTTTCTTTGAATGTTTCCAATATGCATGAATTTCAGTTACCACCATTTTGTTAAATAACACCAATCCTTCAAACAGAGTTCAGATTTCAATTACTATGGTAAATTAACTGTGAATAATTGCATAAAATAGAAATTTCGCCCTCTAGCTCTTCAGTCCACAAATCACTACATAAATAACAGATGAGCATCAAGGTCAGTGACCCATCATGTCTCTTCTTTCAAAGTCCTTGGTGATTGGTCACTGTGCATCTGTTATTCAGTTCACATTCAGACAACAAAGCTTGTGGTTGTCTTACCTCCTGTCTTCCAGTGATAAATCTACATAGTATTTTACAAAAATAGATGACAGAGAGAGGGCATTGGCCAACAAAAATGAAAATGTAGCAAAGAATTAAAAGTGATAATGCCAAAAGTGGAATTTGAGTTGAACAGAATGAAGTTCTAGAAGAAGTAGATGAGCATGGGAATGTTGACAGTGCCACCAGTGAAGAGACTTTAGATCTGCAGCCAGCTGACTTTGGTGCAGGTGAACTTTGTGACTTAAAGAGGACAGTGGTTGTTGACAAAGCGGATAATGATGTCCTAGAAGAAGTAATACTGGCAAAAAAATTTCATTTTAAAAGAACTCTTGGAGGACTTTCCTGGTGGCGCAGCGGTTAAGAATCTGCCTGCCAATGCAGGGGACACAGGTCTGAGCCCTGGTCTGGGAAGATCTCACATGCCGTGGAGCAACTAAGCCCATGCACCACAACTACTGAGCCTGCACTCCAGAGCCCGCGATCCACAACTACTGAAGCCCGCGCGCCTAAAGCCTGTGCTCCGCAATGAGAGGAGCCACCACAATGAAGCCCTTGCACTGCAACGAAGAGTAGCCTCCGTTCACCGCAACTAGAGAAAGCCCACACGCAGCAGTGAAGACCCAACGCAGCCAAAAATAAATAAATAAATTTATTTTTTTAAAAATGCAAAGGATAAAATGTTGGAAGCTGATCCAAACTTAGAAGTATGACAATTCACTAAGTCATAGAAAGATGATCACTCTGTATTGTAAGTTACAGGACAAAAAGAAGACGGTGAAAACTGTTTACTCTTAAGTTTTTTACAGAAAAATAAAATACTTTCATTTCCAATGTTTCTAATTGCAGTGTACTAAGTAAATATTGGTCTTACGGTTTTTCATTTTCCTATACATTTATAACTGGCAGTAAGACAGTTTTTAATGTTCTGACAAAAAATTTAAAGGTCACAGGACAATCACAATTGTTCCTACTGATTTTTTTTTTTTTTTTTTTTTTTTTTGCGGTATGTGGGCCTCTCACTGTCGTGGCCTCTCCCGCTGCGGAGCACAGGCTCTGGACAGGGAAGCCCTGATTTTGTGTTTTGATCATGGTATATCCCCAGTTCATTCTGGTATTCCTAGAACAGCATCTGCCACATAACAGGTACTCAATAAATATTTTTTTATACCAGTGAAACTATGAGTAGATTAAAAGTAAGACTTTCAGGAGCTTCCCTGGTGGTGCAGTGGTTAAGAATCCGCCTGCCAATGCAGGGGACACGGGTTCGATCCCTGGTCTGGGAAGAACCCACATACCACGGAACAACTAAGCCCGTGCACCACAACTACTGAGCCTGTGCTCTAGAGCCTGTGAGCCACAACTACTGAGCCCACACGCCTAGAGCCCGTGCTCCACTGCAATGAGAAGCCTGTGCACTGCCACGAAGAGTAGCCCCCGCTCACTGCAACTGGAGAAAACCTGCGTGCAGCAACGAAGACGCAACGCAGCCAAAAATAAATAAATAAGTGTTTTTTTTAAAAAAGTAAGACTTTCAGAATTTTCTTTAAAAACTTGCTCAGGGCTCATAGTTCTCTAAGACATTATATAAATGACTTAATCTGCAGACACTGCCCTCCTGTACCACATGATCTAAAAGTTTTGTGCTTTTTTTCATTTTCAAATTCAAAGCATCCGGTTTATCTATCCCTTCCTTTTCGTTCTCTCTGACAGCACGCTTATTGGGTCTTTATCATTTCTCACTTGGCTTACTGCAAGATTTCTCTGTGTCAGTCTCTCCCCGTTCCTCCCAAGCTGTACAATACCTTTCATCCTCCCCAAACAGCATTTTCTTGACATCACTTCCCTTTACTTGCTCCTAAGAGGTACCTGGAAGAAATTCAAATTCCATTGATTAGCTTTCAAACCCGTCCATAAATTGGCCAAATCCTACTTACAAAGCTTGATTCCACTACTCCCCAGTTTAAACCCTTAACTTCATCAGGCCAGCCACATCATCACTATCTCGAGAATACGCTGTGCTCACCCCCATCGTGGCTCACATTATTCCCTTCATCTGGGAAGCTCTATCAAGTCCTTTCCATTTTTCCAAGTCCTGTCCATCCCTTAAGGTATAGATCACAATCTACCTCTTTCATAAAGCTTCTCTTATATGACAATTAATCAATTGACTGAGTTCACAGTACAATACTATATGGTCATCTAGTCCTTCCTTGACTTAAGTACTTTTTGTTTATGCTGATCACTAATATGCTTTATGAATCTTACTTGGGAATTATGAATTACATATGTATATGTCCCACCTCTTTAAAAGCATTTGTAAATGCTTTGAAGGACATCATTGTTTGTAAGACATAGCCCTACACTCATACTTCCACAAGTTTTTGTTTTGTTTGTCTTCTTGCACATAGTAGACCCTCAAAATATTTGCTTAGTCTAGTATTTTTATCCCCCCAAATTGTGCAATAGGATATTTTTTCTGGATTTAAACCTGAAAAGGGCTAAATTGTTAAT